GATGATGCCCCTGACCAAAACAATACAATCACATTCTTTCATTTTTGACTATGTCATATAAATAGACAAAAACAAGCCCATGGGGAGGAAAATATACTCATCAAGCCTGGTCTCTCCAGTGAGGTTCTGATGCTTTGAATTTATGTGTTAGACAACACTGACACCTGCTGGATAAGATGTTCACTGTAAACAGGTACACATACGTTTATATAGCATAACATGACTTCTCCAAATTCATACTTCTGCTTTCTAGTCAAATTGTTCCAAGTCCTAATGTAACTGCATGATCATTTTGTAGGAGGTAGTTTGTAATAAACTAACCATCTTAATTCAATGAATTCAGTTTAATTACATCACGTTTTTATGGAGCTAAATGGTTCATGAAAAAAATACATTGTGATGTGCAGTACTGTGCAAAAAATTAGAAATAGGTGAAATGATTTATTGAAATATGCAAACATTCATGAAAGTCAAATTTATTTATATAGCACATTTAAAACAATAACTGCCCCTTGAGTTAAGTGCCTTTTTATACTTGAATGATTCATAGATCAGTGTTAAATGGCTTAACAAACAAGCACAAATCATTCCTTTGGAAATGATCAATGCAAGAACTGGACTGAAAATAAGTGAAAAAGCAGCCAAAGTCCAAAGAAAGAGAGAGAGTACCTTTGGAGAAGTCTGAAATGAGGGGCAGCCAAAGATTTTTGCACACTATTGTAGCTCCTACACATATTATACACTATTTTATTCCAGCACAGTGACCATGCTTTGCCACATTTTTTAAAAATGCATTCACTGGTTCATTCAGTTCAACAAAACCCACTTAGTTCCAAATGAATGGACCAACTTGTTAGTATTAAGACGGATTAAGATATGCAGATAAGAACTGTGACAACCATAAAACCACCCCAAGGCAGGAAGAGATAGTATCAGTCCTGATGACTAAAGTTACCACAGCGAGACATCTTACAATACAGTGTCTGTCAGCAGGATATTATGACCCCCAGCTCTAATGAGAGATCCGTAACTGGTGTTGTCAGGTTGCACCACCTTGTTTCATGTATTGGCATTTATGTATGTGCCTATAGCCTTTTAAAGCCACTTTAAAGTCTATCTGAGCTGTCTCAGAAAGTACCATCCCTATTAAAAGAAGAGCGTGGTGACATGTGAACACCATATGAAACCAGTTATGTAATGGACTCAACAATACAAAAGAGTATGGTTTGCATTAGTTCAGACCACTGATAAATTATCCACAGACACAGCATATTGGTTTCTGTCATGCATAATTTCCCTGCCTGATGTTGATTAGTGTAATACAGTGGATGTGTTTCAGTGCTAATATAAGGAATAGCCCCCTCTGATTACTGCTTGAACTTCTTTGATTATTGAACAATGTTTACACATGTGAGGAAAGTTCTAGCAGTCTTTGAAATGCGGATAAAGAAGTAGATGAAGAGGATTTACTGGGAAATGCTGAATGCACAATTAGAGGCCTGGGTAAACATGACATCAGCATGGTTACTTGCTGTAGAAAGCTCCCACCAGAGACACAGAAGACATTAAAAATGGTTTTCAGAGGCTGCGTAGTACTAACAACAGTGTGTGTGTGTGTAAGTTGTAGTTGTATGTCTCTTTTAATATAATGAAAAGATAAGAACAATGAGAACAGTCCTAACCCATATTTCACTTATTTAAAGGTGAAATGGATCACAGGTAAAGTTCAAACTCAGCGCCCCGCAGTGAATCACTGTCAGAGCAGCGCAGATCCTGAAAAGGCCTCTACCACTGCGTCACATGCAGCGTTCTGTCATTACGGGAGCTCTTTGTGACTCAACCATTTCATATGCAAATGCCGTGCCTCTGATTTCTTTTGATTCGCCACTCCACGTTAGCCGTGGCTTAGACTACGTGCACACGAGGGCTTTTCAGGTGTAATTGCCTTTCAGGGATAATTGTCCCGGGCTCGTCTTCCTACAGAAGCACCTGTGTGTGGATCAAAGCATTTGATGTGTGTGTCAGCTTTGTTTCGAGTGGGTGTCTTTGCAGCACACAGATTGTCAAGTAATTGCCCCTCCAGAAATTTCTATGACCAGAGTGTGTGTGTGTGCGGGGGGTCAGCTTTCATTAAAACAGAGCATTTAAATGGCTAAGTAAGTAAAGAGTATCAAAAGGTTTAATAACAGTGTAATTATCTCAGGAGATGGAAAATAAATCACCCTGCTGACATATCGCTTAATGGAAAAGTTACAAATATTGACATTGTCAGCATTTTCCACACATCTGAGGTCACAAATGTCATGTAACACAATTCATACAGTCTTCATTGCGCTTGAATTTCATCTGCGTTTTTGAGATTTCATCCATCACCTTGTCGTGTATGACTTCTGACCATCAGGTGCACTACACAACCTTCAGCGCTTCCACATGTGTTAAATCGTAATAAGTCAACGTACTTTTATTTCAGTCTACTTGACCTTTGAGGTCACCGCTATGCTCTCCTGCTTAATAAATTCCCAGCTAAACATTCACCAAGTCAACTGGCAACTCAATAAAACCTTCAAAGTAGACGGGTATATTTACAAAGCATCACTCAAAGACCCGACACACCTGCCCTCTTCCTCTGTAATATCAAAGAAGCATGTGAACATCACAAGGTCACAAATGAGCAAGAGGAGAATATTTTTAGACCAACCACAATCTAGACGTCTAATAAAGATGGAAATGAAAGGCGACCTTCTCAAATGTAAATATTTGATATTGAAGAGGTGGGTTTTTTTTCTTAGAATTGACCCCTGCCTGTAAGTTTTTAGATGACGTCTTATAGGTCCAACTATTTAAAAAAAAAAAAAAAGTTTAATTGTTAATTCAATCACATTTTCTCCCATTTAATAACTACAAAGTATGAGGGAAAGAATTTAAAAGCTTGATCTTTTACAAATACTCCAATACAATAAATTAGGGAGTTGTAATAAATTGAATGGTGGCAAGTGAATAGTCCTGTTTAGAGGGGAGGGGTCTAGTAGCAGGGGTTTAGAGGTATAAAGGCGCCATGGATGCAGTTCACACAGACTGAATAATACGAAAACCCATCCTGCCAACATCATCTGTAATGTATTATTAGCTTTTGCTGGGATAAAAAATATATTTGATTAAAAAGAAGTAGAAGCAGAGCTTTTCTCTTTGAGATAGCAATGGATAACTGGAAGATCCAGCTGGTTATTGTGACTTTTTGTGCTTTGGTGCAAACCTATCAGAGATTCTCGTGCAGTGCAGAAGAGCAGAGAGGACTTCTGAAAGAGTGGAAGGTGAGAAGCACTATTGTTTTTATAATGGGTTGAGCAATGGACAAATTTAAATATCAAAGCATTGAGTTCATTCACTTATTCTGTTCAAGCTTAGGTGAAGAGGAGAAAATCTTAGATGATTGTTGAGATTTCTTGCTTATATACAAGAAAAAAATATACTTTCAAAGAAGTCTGAAAGCTGTGTGTTTTAAAATTCTGCATGTTTTTTTTTTTTTACAAGAGGCAAAGTTCTGTAAGTAACACATATTATAATGGTGCATATGTATTTTTAACATTTTTGCAAATAAATCTGTATTTTGTTTTTCTTTACTAATTTGAAAGAAGATACAGAAAGAAAACTCAAAATGTTAGACGACCATTGCATTAACAATGCGTTTGCTTGTAGACTTATGTAGATATACTTTTTAAATATAAAAACTGGTTTACTTTAAATAAAATAGTGAAATGTTTCTTGCAGGATGAATCACTGCAGACAAGCCTGACCAGTCCAATGTCCAGTGTAATAAAAAGATCCAAAGCCCTTCGATTCTACGGACTCATGGGGAAACGCTCAGGTAACCTTGAAACATATCCATGCATAACATAATGTCTCATTTTTTGTCTCATAATAAGTATTAAAGCCTGTTGCATGACAATAAATTTATCTCTTCACAGATGCAAAAAAACCCTACCAAGTAAAAAGACGTGAGTGGCTTGACCTTATTGAAGCAGAACTCTTATCATACTAACGGTTTTGAAAACTAGTAGTTCCAGAAATTGGAATCTAATATTTAATCACAGCATCATTGCATATTTCTTATTCTTATAGGAAATAAAGGAGAAATGTTTGTGGGCCTGATGGGAAGAAGCATCTCCAGTGGTGGTAAGCATAAAATCATCAATAGACCGCATGTAAATTGTAGATATTTCAAAATATCAAGGCAGCTTTATTGATATTAAAAATATCAAAGTGCTAATACACATTACACAGCTATGATTCAAAGTACAAGCCGAAAACCATCCTAGTCAAACGTTTCCTGTTTATTACAGAATCTCTACCCAAAGTAAATCGTTCTGCAAAGACCACTGCGACCCATGATTCAGAGAACCCATACAAGCAAGGTACGATTGTACCAGTATAAAAACCTGAGGCTGTTTTGTTTCTATGTGCATTCATATAGTGGTGTTACATTTGTATTTTATATCCTCAGCAAATTAAAAATCTCCTCTTTCCCCTCATCATTGGCAGGTTCAGCAAAGGAATGGATCAGAATCCTGTATTGATGGAATTAGAAAAAAAAAAAAAAGACATTATGACGAAGATCTATACAATTTTATACCAACCAAAGGCGTGTTGCCATAAATCAAACTCATTAAAAGTACACCCTGCTCAATTTCATGTTTCGATTCATGCTAACAGTTACTGTATTAACGCTCAAAAAGAATAACCACCATTGTCAAAAAGCACATTTCTCATAGTAAATAAAAATAACCTCTAAATGCACTCAAATGTAGCTATTCTAACATTAATGTTATCCATCACATTGGACCGTTCATCATTTAACATTCAGCACACAAAGGCAGTTTTAAAGCAAATCCTCGACACTCATGTTTCACAATGCTGACAAAAAGCATTTGACTTGGAACGTATGCTGGTTTGGCTAGAAATGACAGTAAAATATAAAAAGGTGTTTAAAAAATTCACATTACAGACAAGAAGAAATAAACAGGGTCAAAGGGATGAAAGAAAAAAAACACTGATCTTTATTGACAGTTCATAGGTCTAGGCTACTTGTGGCTGGTGAGGCTAGAGGCGAGTGTTTTCAGTAGCCTGAGCTTCTCAGTGTTTATGTCCCTTTGGGAGGGGTCCATTTTAGCGAGCTTGGGTCGATGGTTTTGTTGCTATTGCCTCGCTTGATCTCCTTTGCTTTCCACTCATCAATCAGGTCCTGGGATGAGAAACAGGGTAACGAGCTAGGTTATCACATCTAATTTTTCCAGTAAGATAGAAATAGAAAGAAGGGCCTGGTATAAAACGTGTTTTACAGCATTAACGTAAAATTTTACTTCCAAAATTAATCAAAATATTAGAAATAGACAAGTAAATGATCTCAGTAACCCAAATAATTTGATACAAAAGCAATTATTTCAATAAATAAATACAAGCATAAATAAAACGGAGAGGAGCCAGCTTACCTGACGCTTCAGTACTAAGTGCTTTCCCTTCCAATACTTCAGCATCTGAAGAGACTGCAGGGTGCTCACAATGTCCACCGGGTTGACAGCAGTTTCCTGACTGATCTCTGTGCAGCACGCAAATATTAAAACAAATATTCATTGTATGCATTTGTCTTGTTTATTAAATGCATGAATCTTCTTGTGCGGATTCATTATCATCGATATACATATTCGGAGATCAGTGTATGTACAAGTAATCTTTAAGGGCCTAAAGCTCAAGCTTCAGACTTCTCTAAACACTCTGGTTTAGGCATTTTTTCCTGCTGTTGACTGTCAATGAGAGGGAATTTCTTTAATATGGTTATCTGAGGCACACAGCTCAGACTTTGAGCGCAGCACTCCCACCCAGCTGCTGCTGCGCAAATCTTTTACTTGCAAGGGACAGCCAAACAGAAAAAAACATAGCTTAAGAGGTGAGCTAAGAGGGAAAGAAGCTAAACTGGCTTGTTACTAGTCAGAAGATGGACTTTGGGACTTCACCAAGGCCAATATAAGCTAAAATTAAGATTATTTTAAACTGGTAATTGGTAACTGGTAACAAAGTACAGAGCCACTTTCAGCTTTTTTTGTAAACATATAATTTAAGCTGCCAAATTATAGGATTTGTGCTTTCACTTACCTTTGATGGAGATCTCCTTGCCTTGAAAGTTGTACATGTATCTGAGTAATACCTCCTTCCAGTAACTCCTGTAACTGATGAGGCCCAGATCAGAGAGAGGTCTCTCTGGCGAGCCCACCTTCTCCTCAACTTTAGACAACAGATAACCTAAATAAAGCACAGGACAGTCAGAATGAACGCTTTCAGAAGGAAGAGAGAATTATCTGTATTTCATTATGCAAGAAGACTAAAATGCAATTTAATGATTACATTGAGAATAGAATAAATTAACATATATACATACTAAAGTCAATGAGCATCTTTCCAAAGCCTTGTCTCATGTACTGTGGCATTGTCAGGATACAGGATACATTGTAGTTCAGGAAGGAATTTTTCTCCTTAAAGAAATAAATAGAAGGAAAAAACACTTTTTAGACATTTCTGTTCTGGAACATAAATTCAATCATTGTGTGGGTAAAAACAATAACCTTGTTCTTCTTTACCTTTGAAAAATAGCCTACTAAATGGCAGCCAGTGTTGTCAGCTTCAGTCATGACATAGAAGAGAAAAGGCTCCACGTCATAGTAAAGTGTTTTGTGGTCCAGAAAAAGCTTGGCAAGTAAACACAAGTTCTGACAGTAGATCTGGGGATGATATGGCCCTTGATTACTTTAAAAGTGGCTTATATATTTGATTACAATTTAAAAAGAAAAGAAATGCCAGTGTTCACTAAGTAAGACTCTTACCTTATTCTTTTTGCCATCGACTTCAAAAACAGATATAGACCCCTTTCTGTACACCTCATCTCCTGGAGGATGCTTCCACACACATTTGGCCTGAAAAGACAAATAATATACAGTACTTCCAAACCAGTGAGTTCATAAAGATAAATTATTCTTATTTAAAGGCCACCGTGCAGTAAAAATATATAATGTAATAAGAGCAACGGCTGTTTGCCAAAACTGAACTTTAAAAAAATGAATGTTTAGAATGTTTTTATAAAAATCATTTCTAAGTGTAGCACGACTCCAATGACTTGGGATTAGTCTCTCTCACCATGTGTCGCCTGAGGATGGTCTGGCTCTTCATGTATTTGAGGCAGAATTCACAGACGTACAGACGACCCAGACGCGCATACTCCTCAGGATAGGGCGAGTGGTACCAGGTGTCCAGCTCGTAGCGACCAAACAAGATAGTCTTGATCATGTTACTGCCCTCTGTGATCTGACCCTGGATGCGCAGCTTCTCCTGCAGGCATGAAGATGGGAAACATTAATGTCCAATGTGTGTGATGAGGTTATCAATCAAAAAACTAGAATGCTAACATACTGACAGTTTTAAAAAAAAATTAATAAATAAATAAAACAAAATAGTGACAACTCAGTTTTTAAAGAAAAATAATGTAACTGGAACAATGAAAGGCACCAGCTCTAGCTTCATTTCCTTTTATCTTATTCTAAAATGCTAAAAAGAAAGTACTTATGGAGATGTGAAACCCCATCATTACCAGGTCTTCAGATGCTCGGGCCTGTGCTTTCCTGAACAGCTCCAGGTCATATTCACTGGTGATGTTCTCCAGCAGAGGCTCTCTGGTGTTGCCGTGTGTTTGCCGATGCTCCTGTGGGCCACGAGAAAAGGCAAGCAGGAAATGAAGTAACACGCCAGCTATGAGGTGGAATAAGCTTAGAAATAGCAAAACAAAAGTACTGGGGATGTACCACATGCTTTTCTTTCTGCTCCTTCTGCAGGCCAGAGTTTCGACCCTTCCTTATCTCAGCCACTTGCTCCTTGTATCGAATCTGTTTCGGTGTTGGTGTCTACAAATAAGGATAAATAACCAATTCACTTTCCTGGTATGAGAAATTACTGACAGTAGTTAAAATAATAAACAGATAATTAAGCAAAGTGTAAAATTCAATGTCATGCTCTCATTTCTAAAGCAGACCTACCTGGTGACGAGTTGCATGGCGCGAGTTGCTGTCCTCCTGTGCCTTTACCTCCTCCTCTTGTTTCTCACGGCTAATGGCTTTTACCTGACAAATAAATAAATAAATAAATAAATAGATAAATAAATAAAGCATGGATTATATCTCTTCTTGGTCTCTCATTTCTCTCTGATACGGCTCAGGCAGCCAAATACTCATACCAGCCACTTCAACCTACAACATTAATAACATTTGCTGGGAACATCCCTGTTTAAGTGATGAAGTGTGTTACTTGTGGCTGTTTTTACTGATAGCAAAAGACATTGTGTACTTGTACTACAGCTGAAATTGTCATTTACTACACTCAACCTTTGGAGTATCAGTTATGTCCCAAAGAAAGTTGTACAGTCCAGCCACTGCCAGTGTTTCAGGTTAATAACTGTATAGATAAAGTAAATTCACATAATATTGTAAAGTATTCTGAACATGATTTATAATAATCACCTTGCATTCATCAGCAGAAAGATTGTGGTAAAGAGGACAGCCTGACACAGCAAAATGACGTTCATGCTTTCCTGTGAGGTGACCTAAGAAAAAAGAGAAAAATAAGGACAATGTTTGCTGATATGCCATATTTCCAATGTTCAAATTTTTAATAACACTTTTGACGTTTGGCAAAAAAAGTAATATATTTTACCAAGGGAATTGCACCCCGGGGTTGGACATTTCATGTTGAAATTATAGGTCTCGTGACAGCGGCGGCGTTTAGGTCGGTGGGAGAGATCTTTATCCGAATCTCTGTTGGCTTGGTCCTTGGCCTGGCTCTCATCATGTGAGGCATTGGGACTGGAGATGTCCAACTCTGATTCAGAGGAGGGTGCATTTCCAGTGGGCGTCAGTGGTGGAGATTCATCGTGATCCACAGCTCGCTTTAATTCCTGAGTATCTAAGGGAAAATAAAATAAAAGTAATCTTCAAATCACTGTAAAAGTATATATATATATATACATGTGTGTGTGTGTGCATATGTATAGGCTATGTTGCCAACCCTGAGAGCTTTGGCTAAGGCGAGTAGAGGCTCTGGTGAGGCGCTGTCTCTTGGGCACAGTGCCTTCACTTTCTGAGCTATTGGTCTGTTCTCTTTCAGCAGAGGAGTCAGAGTCTTCAGTTCCATCTGAACCACTCCCAGCCATGTGTCTCTGTCAGGGGAACAAACGGTAAATGAAAGGCACCTTTTACTAAATAATGTCAAATAGAGGTGCGGAAAAAAACAAGCATGGATAACACTGATGGTGTCCACAAGCCAAAAAGACAGAGTTGTTCTGGCGATAGCAACTACAGTTTTACAGAGCAGTTAATTCAGCATTCACAGTATATCTATTCATTGTTGAGTCATAAATCCACCAAATTAAAAGCGTAGCTGAGGTAACACTGTAAAAGTGCTGTTTGTGGACATTTTTCTTTTAGATTTCTGACTGGCTACAATCAAATGATAGCTCTCCATTAGCTGTTTAATTATTATTATCAGCATAAACAGGTCTTAACACCATCTACCCCTTACTAATACCAAAGCAATATATTCCGCCAAACTAGTGTTAAAAACTGGCCAAATACTGTCACACGTGTAGTAATTACCACGACAAAGTAACCAGTCTGCTTAGCACGTCAACTGTTATTGTTGTTAGCTTAGCGTTAACGGTTAGCTCTGCTCTTGGTTTTTAGTATTTGTTTTTTTCCCAGCCAATGTGGCACAACACTGTATTCACAAACAGCAATTTAAGCAGGATTGGTCTTGTTTTAGTCTTAGGGCAAAGCCTACATATACATGAACCGCAAAGCGCCGTTACATTTCACCAAACGTGAAGTAAAAGTTTCAGCTTCTTTTAACTGTACACTGGGTGTTTAATGAGCTCGAACAATACCGACACAAGCTGAATGTGGCAATGCAGTTAAAGTCAGTATGTTTAAATTATTCTGTGCAGATTTATCAGCTGATGCTAACACCGTGTTTTAGCGCGTTACACTGTCAGAATATTGAATGGAATATGGTGGAACCTCCTGGTTAACCATTAGCGCTAACTTAGCTAACGTTACCCTCTTGTGCGACCTACATGCACTCTTACCTGTCTTCTACGAGGCATGTTCTTCTTGATGGCTACTACTTCACGATGGTCTAAAGCAGCAAATGTAAACGTTACGTTTAAAAAATAAACTGTTTAATGATTTATAGATTTTTTACTTTATTAGTTTATATGTACACAGCGTTTAGTAGCTCGAGCTGCATTCCTCGCTCAGACAGAGCGAAGAAATGAATTTCCGGTAACCAGTAGACCAGCAGGGGGCGACTTCCGGATAAAATAAATTTATTACTAATGCCTGTCTAAAATCTGAAGTGGGCTGGGTGGGGGTTAATTTGAAATGCACTGTCGTAGTATCGTGTCTTTTTGTCTTTAATAAAAATATGACTCCCAAGGAGCCAATCTTTCTTGCCGTTTTGAAAAAAGTGCTCTTGTTCAATAGATCCCAAGGCTTTCTCTGGGACATTTTCAGTCCAGTCCTTGTACCTGACCATTTTCAGAGGAATGCTTATTTGTTTGTTAAATCACTGAAAATTGAGATTTACAGCAGATGAACAGTATCTGAAAAATCATGTGCTTAAGAAATGGGGGGGAATCCATCAAGGACCTGACACGAGACACGAGATATATCTGTTACTTCAGCGGATCTATTTACTGTTGGCCTCAGAAATTGCTTTAGTGCTGTGGTGGCTGTCAAGAAGTTATTCTTAAGGAATAGTATTGGATAACAGCCTTTATCCAAAGAAGAAGCCTTTAAAGAACCCGGAGAACTCATCCTGAAGATTACTTTAAGAAGTTACAAGATACAGTAGCTTGAGAGTTCAGGCTGTGTTGGAGAATAAAGATGGCCATACCAAATATTGACTTTCAAACTCGTAAAAATTATCCAAGCTGCCTTTTAAACTTGTTGGATTTTTACCAACTCTGTTTTTGGCCTATCTATGTTTACACATGCTCCAGAACAGTTTCTTCCCCTCTGCTGTCGGACACATGAACAATAACCGTATGACTGCTCCCACACATGACCCTACGCTGTGTTCACTGCATCATTCCATGTTTGGCACTGATCACCCCCTGCACTCATGTATATATCATGTATATATCTATCCACTTAGCACTTTTAATTCTTATTCTTATTTTTATATTTTTATGACAGTATGTTTACACTGAAGCACCGCAGCAATTTCCTAATGTTGTAAACCTGCTCAACATCTGGCAATAAACCCTTTCTGATTTTGATTCTGATTCTGAGTCAGTTCCTGCACATAGTTCCAATTTCCTTACCAAAATATAAAAAAAGGCTGACTCAAGACTTTTAAATTGTATCTATTAAATTTTGCTTTGTCGAATTTACTGATTTTACCGAGCTGTTTCACTTAGAAGAGCCACGTTCTTATATATTCATATTTTGTTTGGTTAACTTCAATTTGGTCATATTGTTATTATCATATATTGTATTTTATCAACATGTTTACTTATTGAGCCCTGTTATTTCATTTGACTGTATTTTTCCTTTTTTTTTTTTTAACTTTATTAAGTTATTGTGTATTTGACACATACTTTATTGAAATATTCTACTTTATTTAAACTGTTATATATATATGTAGTGGATGTTCTGGCTGGTCTACCACAGGATTTTTTTTAACTTTTGGAAAATAAATAAAGTATTTTATCTTTATTATATCTACCTTCCTATATATAAAGTTTACATTTACAATTCTACTCTTTAAACAATATTGATGGCCAAAATACTGATTTTAAGTAATTTAATTTTGTTGCATAACTAAGATTTAAACTTAATGAAACGCTGTCAAATGAAATTCACTTGATTATTCATGTATGTGTATGTTGGTAAATGATTCATAAATTCAGCTAAATCAATTTTAAAATTATCAATGTGTCAAGATTTTGTCCAAAATTATTAAAGTTCCATTGCATCCCTCAGGCAATGTTGGTCAACAACCTCCCAAGTGCTGAAGTGGGTCCCATTAGGTAATTTTCTTGTTGGATTCTTCCTGCCCCCACCTCCATCCTCTTAAACAATCAATTAAAGGTGGCTGAACCACTTTGAGAACCCAGAAAATGCATCTGTTTTCCCGAGTGTTCCACAGTCAGGCTATAAAGGGCACGGAAGGGGCTGTGGCAGGCAAGTCTCCTAGCAGCTGATACCAGATGGTCTATATATAGCTTTTAGGGCCTGGCCGCTGCATCAGAGCACACTACTAACTCAGCTGGACACGTGTGAGTTAGCTTTCTCTTGGTAAAAAGGAATTGTATAGCAACTTCTCTTTTATTTAAAAACAACAACAAGAATGAACAAACCTAAAATTGTCAGACCAGAGGAAAGGTAAGTGCTGCCAAACTCACTGAGCAATAAAGCATGTTTTTTTACTAAATCTTTCATTATGAAAAGGTTTCAGGTTTGATTCCTAAGCAGTTTCTTGGTGTTTTAACAGCAAGCCAGCACATGCGCTGTGGTTTGACAGGAAGAAATACGTCACCATCAACTTCATGGTTCAGAAACCTAAAGATGTCCAAGTTGATATCCAGCCAGACAAACTGATTCTGTGGTGAGTTTTTAAAGACGTTCCCTCTCTTGAAGTCACATGTGATTCAGTTTAGAAAATGTCTAAAATGGTTTCTTTGACAACCCCATTGCCTCTCTGCAACAGCTGCAAAAACGAAACAGATGATGTGTACTACAACGAGCTGCACTTCTATGACAAAGTCCAGATCCACGTAAGCATACGCATTACATTCTGTATTCTTCAATGTACAGAAAGCAGGCTGTTAAACGCTCCTTTAACTTGTCATCACTTGAAAGGACTCCAGAGAAAGGGTCTATGACCGCACCATCAATGTCTTGCTAAGGAAGATGAAACCTGATTGTGCTTGGCCTCGTCTTCAGAAAGATCCAGCTAAGGTAAGCACACGTGTTTGTGTCTGTGTCCTTAAACCGATCAGTATCAAGGTATTCTATTCTTCTCATCTGGTATTTACTCAGGTTCATAAAAATAGCATGGCTCATGTTAAGACTGTTTTTATGAGGCTGAAGATTATTTTTTTTAACCAATGATACTTCCTCACTATTCATTTACCAGTTTAGTACTCTTCAATCCCAAACCCTAAGTTGAAAAAGTCTTAGCTCACTGTTTCCGTCTCATAAAAATGCATTATATAAGCAAAGAGAAGCTTTATATAAGTATTTATCTAAAGCTACTAATAGAGTGCCTGAGGATATTACAACTAACTAAGTAGGATGTTCTGTAATCCTTGCAACTTTACTTTTAGTAAATAATACCTAAAATGGTGCTGTTATGTCTTCATTCCACAGGCCAGTTGGATTTCAGTTGACTTTGATAACTGGAGGGACTGGGAGCACGAAGACGATGAGGGAAAGGAGGAATATGACCGTTATGTGGATGTGAGTGAATTCAGTCTTCTTAGTAATAAGATCAAATCAAATCAAATCAAATCACTTTTATTGTCACATCACATGTGCAGGCACACTGGCACAGCACATGCGAGTGAAATTCTTGTGTGCGAGCCCCACAGATCAGTCAAATTCCAATATTGCTTCTGATCCCAGTGCATGTAATATGCAATACCTTCCATTATTTTTTGTTTAAATGGCTTTCCTTTTACAGATGATCCGAGAGATGGCTAACAGTGACAAAGGAGAAGCTCCAGATATGGGGGATCTTAGTGATGTAAGTGAAGTGTTCTCCATATAAGTGAGGAGTGTACAATGTAAAATTGGGAATTGCTTCTGCAATAGTCTATATTTAAGTATTCTACAATCAATGCCGACTGAAAATCTGTAACTTATATTGATCATTTTATTGCGGAGACTGACCATTCATCCATTTTTTTCCCTTTCAACAGTCTGACTGATACTTTATCCTCTCTGGTGAAGCCTGCTGTAAATGTATAGCTCAGGATACTGAGGACAACAGTTTGTTTACTGAAAGCTGTATTATATGCTAAAAATGGATGTGCTATTGTCCAAAATGCTGTTTTTAAATGTATGATGATATTTTATGTGAGATTATTTATTGCTCTGTAATTGTTTACTGTACACCGGCATGTGATTGATAATAAAAGTTTTATTAAACACAAAATTGCATTATGTTGCTTGAGGTAATAACACTAGCTGAATGAACTGGGGGATATAGAACATGATTGTGTCGGTAACTCCAGAAGATGGCAGTAACGTTGCAGTAAATTTAAAAGTCTCAATCAGTAGCCCAAATTTAGTTTACACTCGTAGTAATGCACTAAAAACACAGCCTCGCTTTTTATACGTAGTCATTTTAGTGACCTGTTGCCGGTTAACATAACTAGTTGTAAAAAAAAAAAAACGTTTCCAGCCTTTTGTTGAAATGCTGTCTAATTTGAAATTACCCGATTTTTCTCTTAAATCGGTTAATTTCATCACTTTCAACGTTTGGTATGTTGTCTGCGTTCTACTGAGAATCATTTATAGCTGTATCAGATTTAAAAAATCATTGCATTCTGGTTTTATTTACATTTTACAATTCGGGTTGCAATTTATTCGATTTTATAGAGCACATCCTGAGGTTTTCTCTTCCTCCTGTTAAAAAAAAGTGCATTTAAAAGATGATTAAATAATAGTGGCTTAATTAATCTTTTTCGCTTAAGTCAAAAAAGTTATGAAGCGAAAGTCGAAGTCATTAAGTTTGGGCTATTATGGTACCCGTCGGCGTTAGCTGACAGCTGTAGGCTTCACCTCCCCGTGCTCGTGCTACCGGCTGGCGCAGTTTTCCTTTCAAAAACAGGACAAAATGGCTTTTCAGTGTCAGCGAGACTGCTATATGAAAGAGGTGCGAAGCTTTTAAAAGCATCCGAAAAGACCTCCCGGAAATTTATCAGCAGTTCGGTGCAGAAGTGATTAGCATGCCTGCTAACTGATGCACCTGCTAGCTACCTTTGTAACCAGAGCAAGGGCTGGCAACTGATTTATAGCTCGTTTATATATAGTTACGAGTCGCACTTTTATCTTACATAAGCTTAGATTTATTCAGTTTTACTTTGTTAGAGGTTGTAATTGTGTAATTTCCACACTCTATATTTCAGATCGTATCATTTTTCTCCTTTAAAACGCCGCTTAAAAGTAATAAATCACCTTAAATGCTATGCATTTAGAGAATTTAGGATACTGTCTCCTTTTTTAAGTCTTCAGTCTTTGTACTTGCTGTCACATAAATTGTCCTTTACAAAGC